ATGGATCCTAAGAGGAATACAACTCAGGAGAGACATAAAAGAGACAGAGAAAAGGGGGAAATAAAGAGAAAATGAGATGCAAGTGTCCTTCAGGATTTACTTCTGACTTCCGGTGCCCAAAGCAAATAGACAAACACAGACAAAAACAGAATTTATTAAATGTGGATAAACAGCAACTACAGTTGACTTCTTAATTCCCTCAGTTATAAATTTACCAATGTGAAGAATTCATAATGAGCTCTGATAGTCTAAATACACCTTGTCCCGCTTAACCTAAGCAGGTCTCAAGCTGTTGCTTTGAAAAGCAAAAAGAAAAAAAAAACTAATGTTAGAAAGGAAGGTCATAGAACACACATCACATGAAACAGCGAGAGGGCTTATGAAGTGTTTACAAGACAGCTTTGAGTGTCAGGAGCCTTAATGACAAGCTTGAGTTTGACACTGATATAAATGAACACTCTTGTGGAATGAAGGACTCTTCATTCTGCACCAGCTGCCTCACAAACATCTGAATGTCCAAAATAAAAAATTTGCATGAGAAAGTAGTATATCTTTGAATTTTATTTCCTTATTTAATAGTTTACTAGTCCAGTTCAAAAAATAGTTTTCGTGGTCACTGCATGTCTATAAAAATGTATGCAAGGCAATCAAGTTTTAAATATTAAATTATATGTAAAATTCTGAATAATAATTCCTTATACCCTAATATCCACAATTAACTACTATAAACGAAATGACTAGTATATTTCCCTTTTTTAAAGGAACTCAGTAATCCCGCAAACTGTGGTACTAAAAAGACAAACGTTGAGAAATCATTAACATAAATATGTGTTTGTTATAAATAAATAGTAAAAGTAAATAGTAATACTAAAAATAATCATACTGTTATTTGCCAGATCAATAAAGACCTTAACATAATAAATGCAAGCTTCCTGCAGCATTACAATCCCAGACAAAAATCTATTGACCTTTCAGTCTGACAGTACCTAGAGGATTCAGCAGTTCTTGGGTAATTTGAGAAGGCTTTACTTGGAGGTAGAATATAAGAAGGTGATTTCAAAACACATTTATTTTTGACCCAGACATATTTTTTCTGCTTCCTCTTTTTCTCCAGTGGAAAATATGCTAAATGGGGTCACTTTAAATCCTGGATCTAACACAAGTTTAAAACAAAAAATTTGGTCAAACAAAAGGAAATATTTCCTTTCAAACTCCCTGAACTCCTCAACATGCCCACATCTTTGAGTCCTCCATTACTCTCAGTTATTCTGTAGGTCGCAGTATGGTCAGAACAGCAGCGGTGAACTGACCACAGGTTGGATAACATTACAGCCAGAATCATGACTCCATGGTTTTATGGACTACCATCCATCATCAATAACCCAGCACATTCCTGGGTGACCATCAAACACCAACAGGCCATCCTTATTTTTGATAATGCAATCATGTGTTTGACCATCTGATATGATAACTGATAAGGATACTAAGAACAAGAACCTAATTAATACATAGTCATGAGCAAGAAAGCTTTACCCTAAAGCACCATTAGCCAACTGCATGCTTAAACATTACTAACTCTGTTTTTTTAATTCATAGCTGCAGCATACATTCCCAAACAGCATCACAAGCTTGTGTGGTTAAATCCAGCTCTCAACATAAAGCACAGCTTCATCTTTAAATGGCATATGGAGTTAAACAGGTCGTACATGTAAGCATGACAACATTCAATACAATCTATGGGAGATTTCACATTTGCAGTGTGTAATCTACACCTGATCTATAATCTATAACTATCCTCCAGAATGGTTTGATAGACATTTGCAGTGACGTGCCCATCCATAACAATAATTGGACCTAGGGAATGCCTTGATATTTTAGCCCAAATCATCACTGATCCACCTCCATGCTTTACTTTGAGCATTTTGGGCAAAAGTCTGGGTGGTACGCTTCTTTGGGGCTTCTCCTCACCATAACTCTCCTGGATTAGGTAAGGCGGTGATTCATCAGAGAACAATACATGTTCCAGATTGTCCAGAGCTCAAGATTATCACTGCTGGCACCACTGAAACTGATGTATGCATTGGCATGAGTGACCAAAGGTTTGGCTATAACAGCTCAACCAAGTGTGCTGACCTTGTGAAGCTCCAGACCAACAGTTTTAGGGGAATCAGGAGAGTTGAGGTTCATATTAAATTCTGCAGTGAGTTGGGCAGCTGTAGTTTTATGTTTTTTTGGATACAATGCAGGTTAGCCTTCCTGATAACGTCCGAGGCTCAGACACACTCTCGCTATTCAAAACTAGATTAAAGACCTATCTTTTTAGTAAAGCATACACTCAGTGCATCACTTAGCTGTATGATACATAAATGTGCTCCACACAGGTTTCTGCATCTCGTTTATATACACTATGAACAGCAGCTACGCTAATTATTCTCTATTTCCATCTGTGGATACTCAACCCAAGGTCCTCAGACTACGCAGCACCACTGATTTGATCCAAGACCAGCGACAAGATGGTTCCAAGGTCTCCTGGACCAGGCCGTATCCTAAGCAGGTATTGTGGTGGTCATGGAAGAGTGGAGAGCATGAGACTGATTCCTGCGACGCTCCATGGACAAACAAGTCTTCGCTGAGGTCCAGCTTCCAGCCTCCGGTGCCTAGACTGCAGCTCTGCACAAGACGTTTGGCCAGTGAAGAAATGGTCATGCCCAACTGAGTCTGGTTTCTCTCGAGGTTTTTTAATTCTTCACTTTCGCTTATTGGGGAAGTTTTTTCTCTAGTCCCTGTCCCCACTAGCTTGCATGGTTCGGGATCTGTAGAGCTGCGCATCGATGAAATTGCTCTTCTGTGTTTGGGTGGTTCGAAAGACCCACCCCTCACTGACAAAGGTCCAGAATTTGTCCCATACACAAGCTCATTTGTCCTATTTTGATTACTATGTCATAGTAAAATGTGAAAATAGCCATCGAAGAAGGCTTTAAGCCCAAGCAGAATCCTCTTTTGGCTGTTGCTTCAGCATGACTGAGGAAAGTTGAATATGCTGGCCAGTTTGCGTTTGCCTAATAAATGACAATAGGCTAGTTTTTAATCTAAAACTTGAACTTGAACTTTTCTATGACATATGATGAAATATATTTGTATTTGAAATCTAATTATTATTCTCATTTTTTTCAGTACATCAAAAAGTGTGATTAATGACCATCAGACAAGCTAATCCAGCAAAAATTAGTGCTTAAAAAGTATTTAAACCTCATAATTAAATAGAAAATGAGGCTAATAACTGGAAAAATGTCCATATTTTAAGAAAAAAAGAACCACCCCTTTTACCAGGCTGGCTACGAGCCTGCCATGGCTCTTGTAATGCAATGTAATGTGTATTTGATGATGCATCACAAAGACTTGCTGTCTTGGTCACAGATGAGTCAGCGAGATGCACACCAACAATTTGTCCTCTTTAAAACTCTGATATGTCACCCATAAGGTTGTGTGCACTGCAATATTTAATGCAAAACTGTGCTATAGGGTATATGCCGAAGTATGCTAATAGGACTTTTAGTTAGCCAGTAACCTGGGTTAAGCGCTTCCAGTAAACTGTATGCCAATGCAATGCAAAGTCAGTTTTCCTTAAAAATCAGCAGTCTCCACTGGTTGAGTGAAATCTGATATAAAGTGGGTCTCAGATTGTACAAGAAGCAATGCATTAAATTACAGTTTTCCCTGCCATATCTTTATAATATGAGCATTTATTTTACCCCAATATATTCAATGGAGCTTCTGCGCTAGCCCGCCGATTCTGACGGGCAGGTGCGAGTAAAAGGCTTTTTGTCTCATTTTACGCTTGAACAACTAAATGAATGCCAAAGTTTATTTAACTGAATGTATTTTAATAACTTTACAACATCGATGCTGTAAAAGGAACCGTATAAAATGGAAAAAAAAAATCACAATAACAGGTCTCCGGAAGTTTATCAGTATGGGAACAACACTAGCTCGGCATATACCATATTACTCTGCTAATTAAACCTTTACACTCTGCTCTTACTGGTGGAACGTGCAATCAATGAATATTGGCCACTAGACTGGTCAAATTTAGCCATAAAACCTCCAATACTAAATTGGCCAGTGTTTCAACCCCTTTATATTTCTAAAAAAAAAATTAGATGCACTACGTAAAAATCTATAATAATCTTTTTTTTTCCCTTTTTCACAGATAATGGTGTCCTCTGCCTTAGTATTAAGGCTGAGCACAGCAGGACTGTTTACAGCTCTGCTAGAGTGAGGCTAACGCTTTAACAGCACCTCTGGAATAACTGGAGATCACAGCGTCAAGCCCAGTAGCGGCCAGTGCTCCAGCAGTCACATGTGATGTGGCCCGCAGATTCATTTCACACTCAGATTCTGAACACTACCCCTGACACAGAAGAGAGAGATAGAGATGGACTGTGAGAATGTGACAGGGATGAGAACTGGAAAGAATGGAGAGGTTGTTGAAAATTAGCAGATGAACAGTGGAGGCTGACAGTGTGTGAAGACAGAAAGGGGTGGAACAAGGATTTAGTTTACAACGAGCAAAAAATTAAAGCGAATAAAGGTGCAAAAATACCATGCAAAAAAAAAAGTTATACTGTCAGTAATTTTGCATTTAGTTTTTTCAGTGTATTTAATAATAACTGAAAAAATAAATGTATACTGAGCTATATATTTTATATACTGTTAAAAATTGATAGATGTTTTATAGTTTTGCAATGCAATTGAGGGAGTGAGATTATCCAAAAATTATGAATCCATAAATAATGTCACAACATGATTAATTCTTAAACAGTTAAAATAAGTGCAGTTTTAAGCTAAACCACAGATCATCCTGCACTGTTTGTTCTACAGGCATTCATGATTTATCAGTGTTTGAGTAAGCACCACACACTTTATATAATAAAAAAGTCTGGTTATATTCTAATATTTCCAAAATGAAATTGATTAACTGTTAAAAAGAAAGCTGATTCTGACTTTAATAAATTCTTCTTGCATTTATTCTAAAGTGACATTAAATTGCAGTCTATGTTATACTTCAAACATATATTAAAATAAGAATAAAAAAATGTAGTGTTAGATATATAACATATACCAAACAAGCACAAAAAATAATAGTGATAATATGTCATCTTCTTATCAGAGGAAAGTCCCAGGCATAATTCATAAGTGCTGTATTTTCCAGCTGAACTATACAAACTGAACTGGTATTCTTCAGCTGAGCTGATCCTCGTATTGTTTCCGGAAGCAATCTCCAACAGGAAAAAACTCCCAGCAGCGTTCCTGAAACATCTTCCACACGTATGATTCCTGTCGAGTTAAAGAGTACAGCAGTCACAATTTGATATAAATAAACACTATGAACTGCTGTAAAATCTGTTTGACTATGGCAGGAATAAATGATTTTCAAATATGCTAAAACAGAAAACTATTATGTTTTATTATAAAAAAATTTTACAAGACAGGGCAGCATAACAGAAATATCATCACAGCATCTAATAACTCCACACTTTTACAGCTTTTCTAAAAATAAATAAATAAATAAAACATTTTTCAGTGGTTTCAAATATTACTTTATTATTAAGCATGTGCCTCCTACTCTGAAACTGCTCATATATCTTTTTTCCAATAAAGAGTCATGGCATTTGAGAATACAAGTTGTACCTGTCCAGTGTGTTCTGTAACATCCTTATTGATGAGGTACATCAGGAAGAACCTAAAGGGCAAACCAAACACCAAACAAATGTAATTCAGTTTGAGCAAAAGATGGAAAAAACACTCATTTTTCCCCAAGCTGAACTTTACATTGTTTCTTTAACTTTAGGTTTATGTTTTGTTTTGTTTCTTTACAGTACTATAGTAATACCATTGTAATCTTAAAAACAAGTCAAAGTGGTGACATATGAATTTGCTAAACCTGGCATCATTTCTTTGTATAAAGAGGTGTGTTCACACTTGGGTTTGGGTACATTCAGTCCTGGTTTGCTTAGTGTTTGCACTTTCATTTTTAGGATTTAAAACACATATACAAAACAAAAGATTTACTTTTTGTAACACATCTTTTCTAACATTTAAAACAATGCTTGGTGAGTGTTGCATTCAAAGAGCAATCATCTGCAGCACAGTTTTTTTTTGGATGTGGAAAACTTGAGCTTTGGGTCATGACTGAAAGGACAAGATCTCGGATACAAGTTTTCTGGCAGGGCGCACCCTTATAGATAGAGTGTGGAGCTCTGTGACCCAGGAGGAGCTCAGAGAAGAGCCGCTGCTCCTCCACATCAAGAGAAGTTAGCTGAGATTGCTCCAGCATCAGTTTTGGATGCCTCCTCGACTTCTACCTAGGGAGGTGTTCCAGGCATGTTCCACTGGGAGGAGGCCTCGGGGAAGGCTCAGGACATGCTGGAGGGACTATGTTTCTCGGGTGGCCTGGGAACGCCTCGGGATCCCCCCGGAGGAGCTGAGGAAGTGTCTGGGAAGGGAGAAGTCTGGGGTTCTCTCCCAAGACCCAGCCTCGGAAAAGCGATTAAAAATGAACGAATGACAAAGCTGTTGGGCAACAGGGTTTGGACAGCAATATTCACAATTATTTAAATGAACAGCTACAGAGAGATATACTGCTGATTTAGAGCTCGTCTATAATGCTAATTTGGTTGGTCAATTCACCTATGTCGCAAGTTTTTTGGACTGTGGGAGAAAACTAGAGAAACTGGGGGAAACCCACGCGAGCACAGGGAGAACGTGTAAACTCCACACAAAATCGTAGACTGGCCTGTGGCCTGAGGCAAGTGCTAACCACTGAGCTGCTGTACCACCCTTTCGAGGAAAAAAGAAAGGAGGAGTTGGGGTGGAAAGGGATTCTTCAAGCTGAAGATGACTGAGGTAAGGAACTCTGGTTATTTATAATAAGTTAGGAATCATCTTATTGGTGAATCATGCATTAACTAATGCGGGACCAGCTGCGGTCAATGATAAGCATGTGATCCTTTCGAAATTAGTTTATAAATAATCTTCACATTGTGTAATTCATCAGTTTAAACTCAACTTATTTTTCAGAACTTGCTGCAAGTCAGGAGAAGTTTAGGAAAGAATTGCTGAAAATTAAAGCTGGCTTGTAACATACCAGCAATATTGACTACTTTTCTGTAAGTTGTTGTGGTTGTTTACAGTTAAATTATTGTAGTTAGGTTAGGGGGGGTTAGGATTTATTGTTTTGTATCTACTTACATATATGTATGTATACACACACATATATATATATATATATATATATATAATTAAAATTATTAATTTATATTAATTTTAATTTATATATTTTTTATAAATTTTATTAGTTTTATATTTAATTAATTATTTTTTTTATTTATTGCTCAATAATTTTTTTATTAAAAATATATTCTATAATGTGATCTCATTTAAAGGATTAATTCAAGAACAGTTTAAGCACTGGTAGCATTTTAAAAATGATTGCTATTGCATCAAAAAAAAAAAAAAAAAAAAAAAAACAGACAATACTCAACCCTAAACCACACTACACCAGTGTGTTTTAATCAGAGCAAACCTGCTAAGTGTGAACACACAATAACTGACAAGGAATAATGTAAGGCAGAATTTTGATTTAGTCCACCGGGAATTGACTGTCTCACTTGCTATTGAGCTCATGTGGATGACCTCTGATCTCTTGTAGTACTCACAGGTAATTTGCCAGGTTGTGTTCTTGCAGTGTGTGTGACTCAAAACCATGGGGTACTGTATCAAAGTATTCGTTTCCAATGCCACAGATAAAACACTTAGTCTGCAGGAAATAAAAAAGGTAATTACTTTATTTTTTATTTTAATTACAGATTGTAAATTAGCATAAAACCCATGGCTAGGCTAGACAGTGTCTGGCTGAGACTAATGATGTTTACAAACCGTAAAATAAAATATCAGATTTAAAATAAATGTTTAGTTTTCCATAAATTTATTTAAATAAAAATTAACTCTTTCTTTCTGCAGAAGAAAAAAAAAAAAAAAAAAAAAATATATATATATATATATATATATATATATATATATATATATATATATATATATATATATATATATATATATATATAGATTGCACAGAACTGCAAATAATTTTGCTCTCAACTGTATATATTTGTTTAGTTGTTTATAACGTTTTGTTTTCCACAAATTAATTGCAGAACAAGATGATTCAGGTTGAAGCAGAATACTAAAATAGCCCATTTTGAATGAGAAAGCTTACCTCCATGTCCTCTTTAACCTGCTCCTGCTGGTCTCTCAGTTCGCCAAATGCATCAATAATAAGACCTTTCAAATGATACGACAACAGAGCAAATCACCAGTTAAGAATACAATCAAGTTTATGCCACACATTTGAGTCGTGAGTTTTATTTCTCCCCACGCATAAGACACTGCTCCAGCATCAACACGGTCCTCAGATCTCTTCCCATAAATCCCTCGCAGCGTGAGAGAGCATGATCTTATAATGAAGCTCTCCAGCACTGCTCAGCATGACTTGAGTTAGAGGACAAACTAAATAATTAAAACCCAACACTTCAGCTCATTCTGCTTATTGAAATATTGGTGCACATATTGTTCATTTTACTTATTTATTTATATTTAATGAAATGTCTCTGACAATCTTTCTGTTTCTCACCCTGGATGATGGCAAGCAGGATGACGATGACAAAGAAGAAGAAAGTGATGTCGAAGATGATGCGATAGAACTCAAACTCGTCTCCTGCTGGGTCTTCGATTTCATCTCCGATTCCCCCTCCGGCTCGTACGCCAACGTACATGTGGAACATGTAACACTATATGCACATACATACATGCATTAGATTTATTTTTTTTCCCCACCCCATCTTGTATAGCCTTCTTTTTACTCTTCCCTAAATTGAAAAAGCAGTTTTTGCAAGTTTTATGGATTCTGATTGTGCTGTGATTGCTCTGTTAACTGTTTTGGATATTAAATGCTACTGAATATGTGATTATGCTACATTTTTAGGTAAAAAAATGTTAAAAAAATGAATGGGGGTGATCACAAGTGACAGTAAAGCCATTTATACTCAGTACTGACAAAGTAAAAAAAAAAGAAACAGCCTAATTACTGAATTAAAAGTGTAAATACGGCAAAGTTTTGACAGGAGAGTTCAGTTGAATCAGTGAGCCATTACCTGGAGACTCACTCTGACCAGCTCGTTTGAATCAGTGGGTTGGTAACAGGAAAGTTGCTGATTCAGATCATCTGAATATATGAGTCATAAACTAGGGACTTGAGCCGCATCCAGAATCGCATACCTCCATGCTATACAGTACGCTTAAAACATTATGCGAGCTGAATAGCAGCTGACGTAGGTAGGTCACGTGATCATGATAAAATAGCGGATGTAGAACGTCCAAGCTCCATTCATACTGCTCACATTCATACTGTATAGAATGTACCTTTCTAAGGGCCAAGTAGTATATTTAAATTCAAATGCAGTACCTACTTAGTAGTAGACGAATTCGGACGCAGCCTTGGTCTGACCAGATCATTGGAATCAGCAACTCCTTGTGACTGAATCATCTGAATCAGCGAGTCCATTAGAGACTCTGGCTGCGTCCGAAAACGCTACACCCATACTATTGATCTTCTTCTTCAATGCGGAAGTGCGCTCGTTTTTGCGATAGCTTTAGAACTTCTGATTCAGTTGCATATGGGAGAAATGACAGGGAATAATAAACTGCAGAAAGCTACTTGCTCTGCAAATAAGTGTTTGCATGTCTATACAGACAAAGCAGTTAGTAATACATAGTAGTAGTAATAGAATATGAAAATATCAGTTTGCAACATCAAGCAGCAGAACGAGCTGTTTTTAATATCTAAAAACAAATGGAAGTGAAAGAGACCAGAAGTATCAAGACAAATATTATTTAAATGGCTGTGCCCGTGTAGAATAAGGCGAATATAGCATGCTAAAAACAGTATGTGAGCTGAGTAGTACGTCCGAATTCATAGAATTTGAAAAATAGTATGTGAGAAGTATCCACATGACCTACTAATTCCAGCGAGATTCTGAAGTGCGCCTCCGATGCTCGCTACAATATCCCATGGGAGAATTCATGAATGGGAGAGAAGTGACGCAACTGATGCGGATAGATCACATGATCATGACAAAATAGCGAATGTACGTCCGAGTTCAATTCATACCACTCACACATGCATGCGGTTTATTAACAATGGACGTTCTCTGTTCTCCAGCCTACTACGCCTTGAATGCAGCTCTGCACAAGAAGTTTGGCCAGAGGAGAAATTGTAGTGCCCGACTGACCCTGGTTTCTCTCAAGGTTGTTTTTTCCCTTCACTTTCGTCAATTGGTGAAGTTGTGTTTCTCACCACTGGCTTGCATGGTTTGGGATGCTGCGCATTTATGGATTTGCTCTCGAGTGTTTGGACTTTCAGCAGTGAAATTTATTTAAACCACCCTTAACTGAACAAAACGGAATTTTAACTCTGACAACTGGACTGACACAGTTTCAATTGTAATTTACTAGAACTTCTAAGTTCTGCTTTGACACAAACTACATTGTAAAAGCGCTATAGAAATAAAGAATAAAGATGAATGCATACCGTATTGAGTGTACTTTACTAACGGTCGATAAGTAAATTCAAATTCAAATGCAGTACCTACTGAGTAGAAGGCGATCTCAGACACAGCCATTGTCTGACCAGATTATTTGAATCAGTGAATCATCAACTGAAGAGCTCTGATCGGATCATCTGAATAAGCTAGTAATTAACTAGGGACTCGGTCTGGCCAGATCATTTGAATCAGTGAATTGTTATAAATTGTAACAATAATTAACAATATTATTGTTTTAACAGTACTTTTGATCAAATAAATGTAACATTGGTAATAGTATAATATATATATATATATATATATATATATATATATATATATATACATACACATACATATATATATATATACATACATACATACATACATACATACATACATACATAAAGTCAGAATTATTAGCCCCCCTTTGATTTTTTTTTTCTTTTTTAAATATTTCCCAAATGATGTTTAACAGAGCAAGGACATTTTCACAGCATGTCTGATATTATTTTTTTCTTCTTGAGAAAGTCTCATATGTTTTACTTCGGCTAGAATAAAAGCTATAAGCTTTAAGCTATATTGTCTTCCGATAGTCTACAGAACAAACCATCATTATACAATGACTCGCCTAATTACCCTAATCTGCCTAGTAAACCTAATTAACCTAATTAGTTAAGCCTTTAAATGTCACTTTAAGCTGTATAGAAGTGTCTTGAAAAATATCTGGTAAAAGATTATTTACTGTCATCATGGCAAAGATAAAATAAATCAGTTATTAGACATGAGTTATTAAAACTATTATGTTTAGAAATGTGTTGAAAAAATCTTCTCTTCGTTAAACTGAAATTGGGGGAAAAATAAGCAGGTGGTGTAATGATGCGGAGGTTTGATAATTCTGACTTCGACTGTATATATGTATATTTGACAGGGGTGATGGGCAATCAAAGAACTGCTCTATAATTAGCTACATAGCTAAATTTCATCAGCAGTTGCACATCTGCTGATGTATTTTAAAAAAACATTTCAGCTGCAGCTTGATTTTTCTCTAAGGTAGGACTCTGTCTAATGTTAATAACTCTTACAGGAAAAGCAGGATGAAAATCAATCACCTCTTGATGAAGATCTAGCTTGACTTATATTAGCAGTACAAAGGGAAACAAAATCCTTCAAAGGTGAATTACAAAGGTGATTACAAATGGTCAAGGAACCGACTCCAACAGTCTGAACAGTATTTTATTGCAGAGCTCTCATGTTTCTGAGACCCTGACCGTTTGTGAACCTAAGAAACTGAAAGAGAGGTACTCACAGTGAGCATATCATCACATTTCATGTCCATTGGTTCACCGTCTTCACTTTTGTTGTAAAATTTGCGGAAGAAGTTAAAGGCAACCACAGTATAAAGATACACAACTACAGCCAACAGTCCCACCGTCAAAACCAACTGAAAAACACATCCATGTTAACAATTATTACTTAGCTTTTTTGCATTGACACATTTTTTGAAGTATGAATTGAGGGAATGCATTTTTGGGGGCCACTCTATATACACACACACAAAGACGCATCTAATGTATTACCTGTTTGCCATTATGTGTGACAGATGACAATATGGTGCGCAGTGTTTTGAAGCCCATGGCGATGTCGAGCAGGTGAGCGGCGAAGAAAAAATTATTATAATGACCCAGAACTGACACAAACATATACCAGGCCAGGTAAAGGAACGACTGAAAGAAATTAAAAACACAATTTCATGTCAGGTTTGACTCACTGACTGCCTTCAGTTATAATGTTCAGAGAGTGACGGATCTTACATTGTCTGTGAAAACCACTCCCAGCTTCCACATGTGGTACTTCACATCAGTGGTGTTTAATCTGAAGCTGTGGAAACGTAAAAATGATTTATTTTAATCTTATCACACTGAACACCACTGCCATCATCTGGCACATGGCAAAATCTTTTTTTTATTGTCAGCCTCTGCAGATGAACTGTTTTGCTGATTTGTTTGGTATAATAAATATAATAAACCGAAGGAGAGGGTTGCAACTCACAGGATGCCCTTTTGCATGGGTCTTTTCCTCTCCTGAGCCCCTGAGCTGAAGTCAAGAGCAGCTTTATCCAAACCCAGCAGCTCACTGACGCGTGCTGATCCATACAGCTCCCCGTATTTCGCCATCACCTGCAGCATGGAAAGTAATCACAGACTGAATCAAAGAGAAAAACAGTTTGAACCTGCGGCTCAGATCACACAGCTTACGGTACCAATGCCAGGAAGTAGATTTATATTTGTCATGCTCAACCCGAGTATTAAATCTGACACATACTGTAGTTCATCCCATATCGTTCATACCAGAGACACAAATGATGTCTCATGTTTTGTCTTACTGTGGAGACTATAGTATGCAACTGGATTTACAATTTCTATGATTATGAAGATTTAAAAGGAGGCATCCATTACACTGACAGCGAAAGAGGGACCACGTCTGAATGTCAAAGAGATTAGGGGGAAGGCTACTAAATAACCCCCTAGCAACCACTCAGAACACCCTAGCAACTACATTATATAGAGATGCTCTGGCAAACACCCATATAAACCTACAATCAATGCTTTGGGCTGACATGTCATTTAGTTTTTAGCGGAAAATTCAATTGAAAACAGAATTATTAGCCCCCCCTTTGAATATTATTTTCTTTTTAAAATATTTCCCAAATGGTGTTTAACAAAGCAAGAAAATTTTCACAGTATGTCTGATAATATTTTTTCTTCTGGAGAAAGTCTTATTTGTTTTATTTCGGCTAGAATAAAAGCAGTTTTTTTTTTTTTTTTAAACATTTTAAGGACAAAATTATTAGCGTCTTTAAGCTCTATATTTTTCAATAGTCTACAGAATAAACCATTGTTATAGAATAACTTGCCTAATTACCCTAACCTGCCTAGTTAACCTAATTAACCTAGTTAAGCCTTTAAATGTCACTTTAAGCTGTATGGAAGTGTCTTGACAAATATCTAGTCAAATATTATTTACTGTCATCATGGCAAATATAAAATAAATCAGTTATTAGAAATGAATTATTAAAACTATCATGTTTAGAATTGTGTTGAAAAAATCTTCTCTCCATTGAACAGAAATTGAGGAAAAAAAACAGGGGGTTAATAATTGAGGGGGTCCTAATAATTCTGACTTCCACTGTATTAAAATCTGTTAAAATACTGACAAACAGGAATACTATGTAAAAAAAATAGATCAGTTTGTTGCACCAGTGTGTTCAATTCATCAAATTTTATTCAGACAGTTTTTGATAAGCTCAGTATAATTGATGAATCAAATTTAGTATGTAAAAGTTTAATATAACGAAGTAACCGGTTATTAAATAACTATGTGAAGGCACTGAGTGTTTCAAAAGAGTTTTTCCGTAAGAAATAATACTAATGCTGGCCTGTTTAGTGGTGAATGAATCCAATCTATGTTCAGTAAAAAGGATTATATGATGGAGTAATAAACTTGCTAATATATTAATGAATGTGATTTTGAATAAAATATTGTAATTAATATTGTTATCGGATGATACAGGGTTTCTGCATGTTTCAAGTCAAATTTAAGACTTTTTAAGACCTTTTAAGACCATTATGAATGTTATTTTAGACTTATACAGGGTTAAACACTAATGATTATTTCTGATGGCCCCGTTGGGCCAATAGATAATGTTTTTTTGCTTGCCACAAAAAAATCTAATGTAATTATTTTTTAGCAACAAACCCTAGCTGTATACACTATTTTCAACACACACATATATATCTTTTTTTTTTTTTTAAATGACAAGTTTAACATTTGTTAAAAATATATATTTGTTGGCTTTTGGTCCAAATTGATTGAGTATAACTACTATTCAACCTAATGGGTTTCTGTTATAAATCCTTATATTTCATAATAATAATAATATGTATATTATTTATTATTAATAATAAATATTATGTCTACCCCCTTTAATTCTGTAAATAGTTTTTGTGTGAATGGAAGATTATGCAAAGCAATATATTGCTCTGTTATTATCATGAGGAACTGTGTAATTGATTTTAGTTTTCTTTTTCTGATTTTATTAACATGGATTGTTGGTGATATTATGGATGTCAGCCTGATTGGGTAGCTTTACTTGGACAGAGGGGAATTAAGTCCAGTTTAAAAATATTTACGACATACAACACATTATTTCTGTGAATTTAAGAGTTTGTTTAGGGCCCAAAATTTTGTTTTTGAAATATAAGACATTTTAAGATGTTTTAAGACCCTGCGGATACGCTGTAATAGTTGTTTAATAAAATATAGATGAAATAGAGCAAATTAATAATAAAATTAGGATTAAGAATTATTACAAATTTGAAGGAATAAGACACAAATTTGGAAAAATCACAGTTGTGAGACTTTTAAGATATTTTTTGAAAAAGATTAGGTCGCACTTTATTTTGATGGTCCGTTTGTTGAATTTAAGTTACATTGCATCTACATGCCAACTAATTCACATTAGATTATAAGTTGTCTGTTAGGTTGGGCTTAGGGTTAGTGTAAATTGACATGTAATCACAATGTTTCTTAAAGTCAGTTAAATGTCTGTTGAAGGAGCAGTAACAACAGATTTAAGCAGACACTTTAACACTCAAATGGACCATTACCAAACATCAATTTGATTTCAGACAAATTTTAGATACATGCATTTTGTTCTCCAAATAAATGTAAAAAAAGTGTAACCCTTTAGTTTAAGTACCAATTCCCACTAATAACTTGGTTATTATTAAGATATTGGGTGCTTATTAATATTTATAAAATAAGAGATTATTCTACATCCCTAATCCTACCTAATATCTAAAAAATTGTACCTTAAAATAAGGTGTGGCTAATTATTTCTGTAGAACTTTTTAATAATAAAATTAGTATAACAGTTTTTCTCACTCACTTCAGTATATTTCTCAGATCATAATTAAAGTTTGCAAAACATTAAGTGCATTTTTCAAAACAATGCGTACAAATAGCAAAACACCATGGATTAAATGCAAAACCCTGTCTCTAGCTCAAAATTCTTAGTTCATCTCTAAAAATTAAATTTCTGTATCAATGAACAAGTCAGTGCCATCAGAATGACAACTGTTATTTTGATGTGCACAAGTGACACCATGATCTGAAGATTGAACAGACAGTTTTAAGAATTTCAATTTTGATCTGAGAAATGAAGCAAAGCGACTGAGAAAAACTGTAAGAATAAAATATACAAATGAACACAGAGAGACTATCATATATTTAAATGCTGCTTAAACGTAAAAACTGTTCATCTTACCTTTCTTTTCACAAATTTATCCCAGTAATTACTTGGGTATGATCTGAAAAGCAAGAAAACAATAAAAAATAACACTGAAAAGATGAAATATTTTGTCCTTTGTAGTAGTGACAATTCAGCAATCACTATTTAAAGGGAAGGTCAGTCATTATTTCATTTCTCCTAAACACTTATGTGAGCCTTTATAAAACATCTATGCAGCTCTTACGGTGTATTGATGACCATTCTGTCCCACTGGCCTTTAATGTCATCTTCAGAAGGTTGCTCTGTGATGTAGAGTCCATCGAACTCCAGTTTACGAGCCAGCTCCTTCTCTCGCTTAAAAATGACTAAAGGAACCTGTCAGGAGAGTAAGATGAAAAAAGTTTTGTTTAAACCTGGAAATAAACAAACATTAATTTGAAGAATCGTGACCTAAAAGGAATTTAAAAAAATGTCTAGGTCACTAATCTTCGTTCAGACGGTCAGATATTCATGTTTCCAATGAAGCGCAAGATGCTTTTTGGATACTTTACATTTATGTTGGAAAACGTGATAATCAGATTCATGCAGCTCAAGTGTAAAATGAAATGAAAGAATTTTTACTTTTGGTTTAAGACTTGTGGAGGCCACAGCACATCTAAGAGCTTTAACAAAAGCCAGGAAAGTAAAGTTTATTTAGTCTATCAAAGGCGCATGTTTAGTTTCACAATAAGAAATATAGTGGGTTTCTTGCACAGGCATAGAAGTGAAGTGCCGGTTGTGTGTGTGTGCGTGTGTGCGTGTGTGTGTGTGTGTGTGTGTGTGTAACCTTCAGACAGTAGTAGCCGATGATACAGCAAAGAGAGATGATTGTGTGCAGAACAGCCAGGCAGTGAAGAATCATTTTCATGTAGCCACTGTTCTCTTCTAGTTCAAAATAAACTTCCTGTGAACTCTTGGTGCTCTCGTCATGAAAAGCGATCTCCACATCATCAGTGGTTGATGAAACCTAAATAAAACAATCACTTAGATTAGATGTATGCTTTGTTGATAGTAATTAAAATTGAAAAATCACATATTGATTTTTTATGTTGAAAAAATACATTTGCTAAATGTGTAAGATGTTATGGATACATTATTGACATTGAAATCATCAGTAGCTTGCAGCAAGATGCTGTCTTTATATGTGAGTCACTGAATCCTTCATTTAAATGATTTGTTCAAAACAGCTCATTCATTTAGATATGAAGCAAGGAATTGTATTTACAAATGGATCACTGAATCATTTACATATTTGAAACAGATTCGGTCAGGAAGGAAAGCGTGTTTCATTTAATAGCTCCATCAATGAATATGTTTATTAACATAGGACAGACGATAGTACATGTGCAGAGATGGACTTAGTGATTTAAGAGCCATAAGCAATTTCAGGAATGGGGCCCTAGCATTTTGCAAAATGAACTGATTGTTAAAAGTATATATTTACCTTTTATTTACCTTTTACAGTGAGTTTAGCTTTATCTTCATAATGTACAATTAAAGGCAGAAAATTCACAAATAATGTTTCACCCGGACAGCAGGATCACGGAGGAAGCTGCGTTTCATTGTCGAATTTCTATTTTTTTTCTCCCAAATGTTCTCAAAATTCTCACTCTTCCACACTTTACCTGCCTCTACTCTGATCACTGACAGGCTGGTGTTATTAACAGTAAGAAAATTAATTTAAATTGTTACATTTAAAACAGGAGAAGCAGACCAGTTTGACTATACCAACAACCTCATGATCGCAGTGATAAAACATTTGCCGTCAGTATGCAGAGGAATGATCTGCTCTCAATGCTGCAGGTGTGAGAGATGGCTGTGTGGCACTGTGTTGCCTTGAGTGCTCTGGGAGTAACCAATGGCTTCATCCGCAGCTCGTCGCAAAGAGTAACGTAGGAACAGCACGGTCACATGAGATTCACTACAAATCTCCAGCAACACCTAAAACATTCGCTAGTCACTTTTTTGAAAATTTGGTGATGGTAGTCTGAAAAGTCACTAGGTTTGCAACGTTGGCTGGCAGTGTATTTGATTAAAGCACTGCGCTCACACCTCGCACATGCGCAGTATAGAAGAGGTGTTCCATTATTCACAGGGCCCCCATATTTAACGTTAAAATTTTAACGGTTATAGACAGATTTTACAACAAACGATAGAAATTGTATAAAAGAGCTATATGATCATTGGTCGGGGGTCCCAGGGAATTAGGGCTGCTTACCTCGCTTGTTGGTTAAGTCCACACCTGTACTGTACATGTGAATTTATTATCTTTGTTCAAAAAATCGTTCAAAAAATAGTTCTTTTTATGCAAAGATGTACACAAAAGACATTGAATCACATACAGTTAGAGAAAGAAAAACAAAGAACAGGGATAAAAAAAAAATTAATAAATAAAAAGTCAGGTAGATGTAGGTGCGTGTGTGCATATGTGAGTGTGTTGCCTTGTTTCACTATCCTGGGCGTACAGTTCAAAGTACATAAATTATATATATATAATTATATAAATTATATATATATATATATATATATATATATATATATATATATATATATATATATATATATATATATATATATATATATATATATAAATTGTGTAACAGTAGAAAGCCTATTAGCATATTATTATAGGTCATAAATAGCAAAAATTTAAGTAAATAATATATACTGTAAAGAAAACATAGATAGAGCAAAAACAACAGTGGCAGTACTAGTCAACAAGAATAACAACAGCAACGACAATAATAATAATAACAACAATAACAACAACAACAACAATAATAATAATAATAATAATAATGACAATAAAAACAATAATAACAATAATAATAATAACAATACTAATAATACTACTATTACTACTACTACTACAACTAATAATAATAATAACAATACTAATAATACTACTATTACTACTGCTACTACTACTAATAATAATTATATTAATAATAATAATAATTATTATAATAATAACAATAATAGTAATAATAATAATGACATAATTAGTTCAAAATCAGAAAGATAGTTTTGTGTTGTTTTTTTGCGTGACAGCTTTCAATTTTAACCAACAATTACAATTTTATCATAAACAAAAAAAATTGTTAACTTTTGGTCCAATGCTGCCAAATTGTTCGCTCGCTTTAAACTTATCTAGTTGGTGTTCCGAGCTGTAGGTTATTTTAGCTGGTTTCCCAATCTGAGAGACCAATAAACATCAAAACAGAGCAGCCAGACCAACAACACTAAATTTCATGTTTTAGCAGAGAAATCAATACTTACCTTGTAAAACAGAAGAATGAAATTAATGGCAAAAGCGAGAAAGAGAGCCAACAACCTCATGTTGTAGAAATTTCTTGCAAAGCAGTTCTGCAGAGAAAAGACATGACTTGCAGGTGTTCAGATCCATATGTTTGAACATCTGTTTATACAGTGTGCTTACATTGTGCATTTGGAAAACAACAGAGAAGAAAACACACCAGAAGCTTGGTCTTCTGGGAGCTGATCATTTTCCAAACAGCCCATTCCTGGATTTCAGTTTCATCTGGATTTGAAGAGCTGAGCTTTCGGATTCTCCTCTTCGCCTTCTTTTCCTTGTTATGTTTATCCTCATCACTGCAACTATTAAATAAAATATTAAATGAAATATGCAAGCTTCAGATTGCTCACAAACAGTGCATTAATTCGACAGCCATATAAATAAGCCGTTCATTATCCCCATACAAGCATTCACTCATTTGCATCCATAGTATGGACCAAGACTGCAGGATATTGGACATAAATTGACACTAGAATTTAGTTTGCCTGCGATATGAATGAAAAGATGATTTAAAACTCTATTTGGAACGAAGTCATTATTTTACATTGACTGGGATTATTTTGTAGAGGAGTATCTGCATAAAATAAAATACAATTGAACAGATACAAACTAATTGTATAGTTTTCTGTGCAATCTAACAGTATTGAGGTGCAGAAATTCAATAATAATATATAAAACAACTTATAGTGTAGAGTCTTCATTGCATTAATAATTAAATACAAGTCACTTTGGTTTATATAGCATTATAACCTCTAGATTTAAGTTTGCTCAAATCGTACTCAGTCACAGGTCTTAAATACACATCCAAATCAAAATCCTTTACTCTATTTTAGGGTTAAGCTTTGCGATGACCCTGAAAATAACATTATGTGGTTCTGATCAACTATAATCCCAACTTGACACTGCTGATCCAGCGATGTGACTATTGCAGATGAACACATTGAGATATCGATGCTGAAATGATACATTATGCAGGCCTAGTATGGACTTTGTTATAACTTTAATGTCTTATAATATACAGTGAGCAATAACAATTAGGGTTAGGCAATATTAATTCTAATATGCAGATCCGATGATCAAGAAATATGTTTTATCATTGTTGACCATTATTTTTTTCTGCAGTAACATATGTTTATATTTATCTCTTTATTTAGCAAAAGCTGTCAAATACAATGGGTTATCTAAATGATTTAGGGCAGTATTTGAGACATCACATTAGCTGTAAGATGTTTTACGAATCAAACTATTTTTAGTCAAGGTGTTTGGTTTTGATTTATACAATCCATCAGGTCTTTCATTAACATTACATAATTATGTCCAAATGAATTCTGAAATTGTATTCAGTGCGGAGTATTGATCATTTTCAGCAGCTTTCAACTGCGTATTATTTTCACACCTTTTGAATTATTCAGGGTCTGGACACCCAACGTACTCGAGTACAATGAGAATATTAAAAGACTTTTTCAAATGTTCTCTGGGCTTCCTGTGGGGTATAGAAATGATACACTTGAAAGGTAAAAATTAAATCAGTACCATTCCCTGTTCAAATAGCAGTATTTTCTGTTTCCAAAGTTATATTTTTCCTCTGTCTGGAATACTTACAAAGCTTTCTTAGTCTCTGTATCCTCCTCCTCATCTTGCACTGCATGAAAATCCTCCTCACGGATTTCAACCTGTTTATAACATAAACGGACATACAGTAAATAGACACAAATGGAAAAACAAATAGAGACAAACTGAACATGCACGTGTACAAAAACGACAATTTATTAGACAAATATTTATAAAAATGGAAAAAAATATGGTCGCTAGATGTGTAACAGTGTAAAAAAAGACTTTGGTTCAGACCTCAGTTTAATTATTTGATACATTTTTGGTAAATATATAATGTAAATGTAAAATGTATAATATGTAAACTGCATAGATGGACTGCATAGAAGGAAGTATTGTTCATTTAGAGACCATTTAATTCCCGTTACATATAATATACATTAAAATGTTTTCTGTTTTGATACATATAATGTTTAACTTTTAATTTTTGGGGAGTAATTCTATTTGTTACTGAAGAATGTTATGTGTATTATTAAAATGCTCAAGTTTTTACAAAAAAAAATAAAAAATGGCCATATAAGATTAATACTCACTATGATATAGTAATTTTTTATTAGTCAAGCAATTCCATACTGAGTAATTAAATTACTTTTTAGATAAAACATTAAATATAAAAATGTTAAATACAACATTCTTAATTTAATAAGTTGTTAATTATTTTTTTGAGATAACTTTTCCAACACTAAATAAAATAATTTAATTTCTTATAATGAGCATATATTTTCAATAAAATGAAGATATATAAAATGTAAAACGTCATAATACGTTTCACCTCAAGTATGAATATGTGTACTGTAACTCCCGAATGGTCACATTTGTCCACTTACCGCTGACAATTAATGAACAACACACTATTTATTAAACTCAAAAGTGTTAAACTTCTAATTTAAGAAAAATCTAGTAAATAATACAGTGCTAGGCATTTATGAGTACACCCCCCACAAATCTCTCATTTAAATTGATATTTTCTCTTGGATGCTTTTCAATTTTATATTTGTGCAAATACATTATTTTAGTCAGAACCGAAGCTTATCTAACAAAATAACTTACAATACTTGTTCCAAAATTAGTAGGCCAAATTTATTTGTTAGGGAAAAATATTAAATAACATTTTCAAAAATAGCAAAAATCAAGAGAAAGCAAAAATATATACAATTTTGTTGAAATGTTGTAGTTTTTTTTTTTTTTTTGCGATGTTTTGATGAATTTAAATGTATTATCTTTCCATTTCTAAATGTTCTGTGACTAAAATGTTATTTTAATGAACAGATTTGTTTAATAAATCTGTTTTGTTCAAATGCACCAAAATATATTACCCATATTCACTGAGAAATGGATAAACATATTCGATTTCAAAATGGGGTATACTCATATATGCTAAGAAATGTACCATAATATGAGTAATTATAGTCAAATGTATATTTTTTATCATTTTTAAGGAATTTTTAAGGTATTTTTAATAATTATTGACCTGATATTTGGAGGTGTTTAGAAATTCATCCAGACTGGCACTATGGTCTCCACTCGATAATGTGTACTTTCCTCCTTGCCTCTTCAGACATAAGCCGAAAATATCTGTGAGGAGCTGTGGGTCCCTGGATACGGCAGACAGATCCAGACTCATGCCTCTGAGATTACCACGAGATGAAAACACACGTGCCTGATTGTCATTCTCCCTGAATGCATCTTGCACTCCTATAGCCTCAACCATGGTCGGATCCCGAAGGTCACCAAAAAGGTCGGTCAATTTCATCTCTTTAGCTACGTCAATAATCCATCCACTCAAGAAGATGTGGTAGAGCAGATAAAGGCAGAACCAGAGCAAGCCCAAAAAGGCATGAGTGATGAAAAGCAGAACGTTGTAGAATAAAGAGAAGATGACTGATATTATGCTCTTCATAGATATTCTCCTAATGTGTTTTCTGATGTTCCTTACAGAGAAACAATTCAAGTCTCTGGTCATCCTTTTGTCTTCAGGAAGAGTTTCTGTCTTCTCCACCTCTTTCTCTTCCTTGCCTTTCTTTGCTTTTAGTTCTTCTCCGCTCTCTGTACCAGATATTTGTGCAGCAAGCTGCATTTCAAAAATGGTGTCTTCACAAAAGTTGACAAACAGCTCCATCTTTTCCTTCTCGCCTCCTTTATTCACGACATCAAAAATAAACTGTCGTTTGCTCTCCTTCACCTGTGAACATGAATTTGTAAAGGCTTTTTAGGAAACACTTTATTAAAGCACAAAAGCACATCAGCCAATGACTGTTTCATACCTGCGGTTTCTCCCACTGTGTGCGGCTGGATTCGCTGATCTCAAAGTAGACCCTTTCGATCCGTTTCCCGCTGCCGAGGATTTCGATCCTTCCAAGATGAGGATGGAAATACTTAAGCACACTATCTGCTAGTTCCAGGAAATTTTGCAAGCGGGCATCATTGGGCATGTGCTCAGACAGGTTGGTCAGAAGAACGGCCATGTTGAAGCCAATTTCTTTAGCCGGTTCGTGAAAACGTGTCACAAAGTCTGGGTAATCCAGCAGCTCACTTTCTGCCATCTCCGCACAGGATAACAGGAATTCAATCTCAGATTGAGAGTAGCGCTTGAACACTTCCATGGCTCGCTGGAAGTCCTTCTTGGAAATGAGTCCTTTGCTGTCTGGGTCATATTCATGGAAGGCTTCTGACGACGTGAGGTCTTTGAGTTTAAGGAACATGTCGAAGAACTTGAGGATCATCTCCACATTGCTGGATGATTCCACCAGCATGTCTACCATCTGTTTGCCAATGGTTCCATTAACCACGTTTCCTAGAAACACAAAGGAAGCTT